GGATGAGCTGGCCAGGCTCACCCCTTCCCTCAGGCAATATGTTCTCAAATTCCCACTTTTGTCCGAGTGATGGTGCATTCGAAATGTATTAGCAATAATAAGATAATTCCCCTAAGACACTGCACAATGCCTCCAAGCCCTCCTGAAGACTACGTAAGCATTCTGCATACCAACCCTCCACTTTCTCCCGAAAGCAAGATAAGCATTCCACATGCCGATCTAATGGACCAGATAAGCATCCTGCCTTCTTTTATGAAACACAAGTTATTTGTGAATCACCTGAATTGTGGCAAGTACTGTACAACATTCTTTTTACAAAGTGGGAGCATACAGTAAAATTTCTGTGACTATATATGACATAGTAAATCAATGCTTTTCCAACAGCATATACTTTCGCGCAATAGAGCAAAATCACTAAAGAGCAGTATGTAAGACCTACCTATTCTCCTCTCTAAAGGTTCGTGTTACAGAGACGACCGTGAAGTGGCTCAACTTTGGCTGTACTTGTTGCCCAGCTTCCCTCATTGACATCCCATGGACAAGGAGATGGTCGACAAAAGTGGCACTAATTTCATCTGACACTACTTGTCTCCTTGGCCATTCTCTTCTTTGTCCTCCTCCTCTTCCTCCCCTCTGTTGTCCGCATCTTCTTTCCTTCTTTCTAGATCCATTGTTATAAAACTAGGGGCGCTTTTTTACCACACCAAGTAAGGTACTTTTGGTACTTTCGCTTTTCCACTGACTTCCGTTCCAGCACCAGTACCAGAAGTCCCAGTACCGAAAGTGCCAAACCAGCTGGGGTACTACTTTGGGGTGGGACTTGAAACACTCTTTCTTTTGCCGCTGAAACACAATACAAACGCCGCCTTGAAAAGAGTTGCAAACTCAGAAAACAATGATAAGACAATCAATTGTAATTCATCTGATCACTTTGATAACATTCTGGAATATATGCAAATTGCCATCATAAAAACTGAGGCAGCAGACTTTGTGAAAATTAATATTTGTGTCATTCGCAAAACTTTTGCCCATGGCTGTACTGTCACACCCACACGGGCGGGACCAAGCGGGGATACGGCAGTATGCCTGATTAGGGGCTGTACAAAAGACACCGGCAGTCTAGGACTCGTCGCGAAGTATTGTGCCAAATGAGTTTGAGCTGTGCCGAGCGTTTTGCTGCCCTTTGTCTGCCCCATTTCCCTGTCCTATTCCGTCTGCCTGGTGTCACGCCTTCACCCCGCTTCCATTCCCTCTCCAGCCCAGCTCCAGTGCCTGACCCGCTTCCTTTGCCAAGTCCTGCTCGTCCCGTCTCCCTTTCCCAGTGTGACCGTGTCCTGTGCTTGCCTGTCGGATGGATTTCCTGGCTTCTGACCCACGCGCCTGTTTCCCGACCTCGTTTTCGGATCACCCCTGTCTGTACCTCTACGAAAGCACTGCTAATAACGCCATCAGTACCCCGCATCGCTGGGTCCGTGTCTCTCTGCCCGGGCAATCGCCACAGTACTAATACAGCACACAATAGGAGCCTTTTTTGCCCCATAAAACAGCCTGAGTCTGTCACTGATACAATTCACCACTTTTACATGCAGGATTCAAGATTGTTAAAATACCTTTCAGACATTTTAAAATTTATTATAAGGCATTGAGTATTCATTTCATCATTGCATAAAAGGATGCACACAAATCTTTATAACATTGAAACGGGCAATGCATAATAGACTATTTAAATAAAAACAAATAATTACACTTTATTCACTGTGCTGATCAAGACACCATTATTCCCCATTATCCTATCTAACATCTTTTCAGCAGCAGGATGAGAAAAACAAATCACCATGCTTCATGACCTATGCACTGATTTGGGATCAGTTTGTAGTTATGTCTTCTATTTAAGCCCAGGACCCAGCAAACAGACACAGATATGTCTCTGAATTTTAAGGCTTGCATTCTGTTCAAGTCACTTTGACTAACATTTGCAGGTAATATGTAGCCTAGCTAACCCTCCAAGACCTAATTTAACTGACCAGCGCATGCAAAACGTGCTGTGAAGCATACATGTAAAAACGGAAACCATTTCACAGATAAAGACAGTAGTGGCAAAAAGCAGAACTGTTTTGCACATATATTTCTTTATAAAGAACTGTAAAAGTGCTTTTTGATGGGCACTTGCCGTTTACTGCATCAAAGCCTCTGGGCTGCCATTTTTCAATTTTGCAAAACAGTAACATCTTTATTTCTTCATATGCAAAGCTGCTCCACGAGAAGCACCTGCAAGCAGCCAGTAGTCACAATACAGTTAAACAGTCTGAATGATATAATTCACAAAGCAGCCTTCATTCAGGTCTGTTACGTCTTCTCAGCCCGACCACTGAGTCTGCTTTTGGGTCTCTGCTGGTGGTGACTTCGTCCACTGCATTCGTTCCACAGGTAGCTTCCCAAGAGGACACTGTACTTTTATGTCCCTCTTCACCCTCAAACTCCGATCCATCCAGATGGCCATCTTCTGCTGTCCCCTCTTCCAGGAGCCTCTCCTGCCCTTCTGATAGAGATCCTGATAGATGGTCCTCCTCAGCTGCCAGGGAATCAATGACATCTTCCAAGTTCTTCTCACATGGGAACTCTGCAAGGTGTGCACAAAGTATTGAAGGTCACATACCTAAAAATGCCTCAGTTTGTTTACATATCCCAAATGAATAGTTCACCAAGTCACATTTGATTTACTTTTCTTCAGCAAGAACAGTAAATCATACACCGCTTCAGAAAACTCACTACCATCTGCTTTGGAAAATTTAAGACACCATAACACAACAGAATCTCTCACCCAGTATTTCATAAGGTTGGAGCTTATCTTTTCTGCAGTGGGCATGTGAGAATGAATTCCATCAACAGTTGCAATTCCCTAAAGTTGCATTTTTTTGGACAGTGGGAGGGAACTAGAGTACTCGGCATAAATCCACGCAGGCATGGGGTAAACATGCAAACTATGCAAACTCAAAATATGCATGAGCTGTGCATGCATTCTCTGAGCCAATCATGATCATTCTCATTCTTGCTTTTTGACTGGATAGTAGATAATGTGGTGCATTTGTGAGGAAACTTAACAAAAATGACTGATGAGGACAAAAGCAAAAAAGAACTGATTATGAAAAGATTCGTCTCCCTCTGTATGGAAACATTTTGGATTCCATAAGGATGATATTGAGCAAAAACAAGTGATTTGTCCGCACTGCTTTGTGTGTGAGATCTGCTGCCCCACATGCCGGCCAATAAAAATCAAAGTGATGCCAGAGACAAGCTAGGCTATTCTGAGAGGTTAAATGGCATGTATCTAGCAAACCTCGCGTTATTGGGTGAGTCCGTCAAATCCGGAAATCTCGTTTAAGATTAATTTGCATTGCTGTCGTGCAGTAGTGATATTTAAGATCTGCTTTGCAATGCTGACAAAAGACTGCATGTTCATTCACTTGCACAATGTAAAGTGCTTCCAAACAACTGAGGCTTTCACTCTTTATTTAGACCTTATTTGCACAATATTCCATCTGCCACACTACCAAGTAATCAAGAAAGCACATCTTAATCAATGCCATTTTTTTTCTAATCGTGTAATTGAGTTTAATCAGGTAATCGTGACAGCTCTATCCATCAATCACAGCAGCATTATACTTAGAAATGGAAGACAGTACCTTCAGCCATCATTAGTGGGCAGTCCATGCCTCTCTTCTTCATCAGATGTCGGATGGACTGAAGCTGGGACATGATTTCATTCTTCTGTTCGGATGCCACAGATTTAACGCTGATTTGGGAAATTGAAGGGGATGATACTCATTAAAAACTACAGCATTTGACAATGTCTTCTTTTCAACTGCCAACAAGTATATCCAATCATGCTTCAACCACTTATCCTGATCAGGGTCACAGGTAGCTTGCAGCCTCAAGGCAACACAGGCCACAAAAGGGGCTACGACCCTGGACAGGATGCTAGTCCATCACAGGCCACAAAAAGGGCTACGACCCTGGACAGGATGCTAGTCCATCACAGGCCACAAAAAGGGCTACGACCCTGGACAGGATGCTAGTCCATCACAGGCCACAAAAAGGGCTACGACCCTGGACAGGATGCTAGTCCATCACACGCCACATGCACAAGCACACACACAATCAGGCACCGCAGACAATTTAAAGACAGCATTTAACTTCACTGCATGACTTTAGACTACGAGAGAAAACCTGCATGATACAGTTCAGACTCAAATTAAATAAAAATGTAGAATATAGAGTGGAAATCATAAATCTGCACAGCCTTACTGAATTTCCAGTTTGTGTTTTAAAGTAAAAGCTTAAATGAAGGCAATATGCAAGCCCAGGGATGTCGCTAGAAATTCTGGGCCTCCCGCCTTACATCAACAAAAGTGGGCGGTTTCAGACAGCATGTGCAAACCTCCGATCCCATATGCGGCTGGCTCTACGGGGTGTGCCAAGTACTGTAGAAGGCTCAAAAGGCTCGCTCACCAGTTAGTCAGTGGGTCCAGCTGAGTGAGTATTGAATTCAGCATCTTCTCCGTTTGCGCTAAACGCTGCTCGAGTTCATTCAGCTGATTTTCTGTCAAAAGCCAAAATCGATGCCAATAACTAAACAGGAATGTGGAAGACAAGCAAATGAAAGCCCATCACAAAATGATAACGTGCATTATTAAGAAAGTACCCGTCTCTGCAGACTTCTTCACCCCGTTCACTGTCTTATCCTTCTCAATCTTGGCGTCATCTTTAGATTTGATCTGCAGACAAGGCAAGATCAAAAATGCATCTTCGCAAAAAAGGTATCCAGCATTTTTTTGTATAGCAATATAGCAAATTTTTTAAAAATTATAATATTCTGCAAATAGTTCTCCAGGAAAACTTAGCTTCTTAGGTCAATGGTATCAGTTTCATTTCTGTTTCATGTTTCATTTCTGCTTCTGTGACTTCTGGTGGCAAATCTGTACTATAAATATACAATAACTTGTGATTATCTAATATAAGTCATGTACATAAAGTGTGAATTACCAGATGTAAAATGGGGGCATCCTGTGTGATAACAATATAAAGTGCCTGTATGTATGCATGCCGTGAAGTGTCATCATTTAGTATAGAAGAATAAATTTGTTATAAGTTTCTCGATCTTTAGCTTGCACAAAATTTACATGGATAGAATACATCAAGCAATTTTTTTTTTTTAGCATAAATTGCCCTAAAATCTGTAGCTTTTTCCCACAGCATTTAAAATGTACTTCACCTCTGTTTAATCTAATTGATCAGCATTACAGAACTGTTTAAATGTCCGTATTGCAATATCAAGCGATTCAGGATGGCAAACCTGCTTCCTGAAGTCTAGGAATTTGGGTTTTACAATAGGGGTTGGTCCTGTATTCTGTTGTGGGATCTTAAACAGGAAATGATCATCTAAAAATCGCTTGCATGAGCACGCTCAGCTGTCATTTTTAAAACGAGGAGCACGCCGAACAGGATTCCATCTGCTCCCATTATTCACCATATAACTGGTAAGCTGATAATTATTCAATCATAAATAAACAAAATATACAAAATATACTGTTAAATATAAATATATTTACCAGCTAAACAATTTTCAAACATATTGAAATTGATGTTTTATGATGGATGAAGTGATGTTTCATTTAAAAAAATGTAAAATAAATAAATTGACAGCATAAAATATAACAAAATATAAAGGCACCAATGTGAGTTACAGAGTGTAAAATGATTAAGTCCTGACATAGTGTGGTAACACTATAAAGTGCTCGTATGTACACCGTTAAGCGTTATCATTTAACATGAAATAAGTTTCTCGATCTTTAGCTTGGACAAACTGTATATGGATAGGCTCCACTAAGCAATTCTTTCAGCATAAATTGCCCGAAAATCTGTAGGTTTTTTCCACAGCACTTAAAATGTGCTTTACCTCTGTTTAATCCTTTCAGAATAGACAAGACGCCGTTGTAAGATTTGACAATAAAAAAGGTGATTTTCTGAAATGCAAGCACACCGCTGTAGAGAAGCTCCGACTGCTCAGTCCAGTCATATTGTTGGGCCATCAGTGTTGTCATCATGCATTTAGGTCTCAAACAGTATAAAGGTTAGTTTTGCCCAGAAGCTCTTGCAAATTACGTAGGAATAATGTTAACGGCTGTTTTTATGGCGTTTACATGAGTTAATTTGTTTTGCCGTTTCATTACATTATCGGCTTTACATGCATCAGTTTCCACTAGCAGAAAAAACAACAGGAAGACTCATATACAGCACTAATTATATATTCTTGTTTTTCATCCTAGCTAATTTCAAACACTGCTGAACTTATGAAATTAAAGGGGAGGGGGGTGTGTGGAGACTGTTCCATATATTACGCGATCATCCCGTATAGAAAAGTAAATTGAAATATTTTCTTTGAACTTATACCGGACGCGACTTATCCTGTGGTCTAGTAAGGCAAATAAACGTGCTTCTATTTTCATTGCATGTGAGAATTTTGGGGTAAAAAGACACATAAATTATGAGTTTTAGAAATTATTTTGAATTCCCCCGGTATTTTGTTAAGCTGAATTAAAAACCATGCCCCCCTCATACACACAACAGAAAAAGCACAACTTTTCATATCAATAATAAAGAATTAAAAATCTACCTTTATAAACTTGTATACAGCAAAGACACCAACTCCGATAGCATACAGTGGCATCAAGGTGAACACGTAGCCCTTGCTATTTGATTTATATTTATCGCTCTTCAGCTCTTTCTCCATCATCTTTCTCACTTGCTGCATATTTTCAAATGTCTGCGCCTTTGAATCTGCTGAATTCAAGTTGAACTGGTGCGGTCTTGCTGTACCCGGACCCACTGAAACACACACAGGATAACATGCATGCGGTGAATATTAGTGAGCAATGTTTCTGTACTTGGGCATTAAAAAATACATTGTATGTGTGTGTGTCTACATATATTACATTAACAATTCGATACTAATTATGTTGCTGAAACTAAAGAAAAAAAGCAAACTTCACTCGTATCATTTTGCCATTTGATCACATTCACTTAGATAACACACCACAGAGCACAGTATACAATACAATAACCTAGCTAACAAGTAGACGAAGAGCTTGCTAAGTGTGGGGGAAATTGTTTAGCATCAAAACAACGGCTACCTTTCCTATTAACACGCGGATCAAACCCTTTTGATTCTTTCGAGCCGGATCCACTATTGAAGATTCTGGGTAAAACGACGAAAACAAGTAGCACAGCTGTCAGTGCTACCACCAGCTGCTGAGACGATGAAAGGACCATGTTTTATGTTTCACGGTAGTTACAAAAGCTTTCCTGCTATATCAGAGACAAAACGAAAACATTAGAGGACCTAGTTTTTTCGTTAATATTAAACTGTGAATTAATCGTCGCAACAAACTTATAGATGCTTTTCTAGTAGGATTTGCTGCATGATGCGCTTACTAGTACATTTTACTTCCTGGTTTACGAACCAATCGTCTACTACCATCCAAGAGGAGGAACTTACGTCATGTACGGAGCCGAACGTCCCGCCGAGAATAGCCGAAAGGAACCCAGTTCTGATCAGTGTTGCCAACTTAGCGACTTTGTCGCTATATTTAGCGAGTTATAGACCCCTCTATCGACTTTTTCTGGTGTTACTGGAGACTTTTGGAGACTCTGACGTGAAAACACGTATCGTCCTTACTCTTCTCACCGGGCAGCTATCTTAAGCACTCACAGGTGGCCAGTCCGAGTGCAGCAGCCCCGCCCAGCTGCAGTCAAAGCAGGAGATGTGCATCATTTTCTCACATTGCCATTGACAGTTTTTTTCAATTGTCCGTTTTTGATCCGTTTAGATTGTTAATGTAGATTTTATACAAAAAAATGTTATGGTTAAAAATATTAACGGTTCACTTGTTTACTGCAAACCTAAAAAAGTAACTGTGCCAGAGTGTTTCTTTGGGGTCACTTTTGCCGGTGATATAAACGTATCTATGGAAAAGCACTTTTTGTCTCTCCCACGACATTATTCCTCTCTCCTACAGCGTCCATTACAATTACATTCACATTATGCAAATGAGGCGATGGCGTCATTTAGCGACTTCTAGCGACGTTTGGGACAGCCAATAGCGAGTTTCCTTGCTGAGGAGTTGGCAACAGTGATTCTGATGAGCTATGGCCGAAACAATAGCAGTTGCCAATTAATTTGGATTTTGAAACTTAGAACTGGCTTTAACTCACCCTGCTACTAGAGATTTTAGGTCTCAAGTAGCAAAGTTATAGTTCTGCCCAGAAGCTCTTGCGAATTACGCAGGTATAAAGTTAAGGGCTACATTATCGACTTTACATGTATCAGGTTCTACTAGCGAAAAAGACAAGAATACTCATATACAGCACATTTCCTTGTTTTTCATCCTAGCTAATTTATAACACTACTGAACTTATTAAAGAAAAACATAGAAAAATAAAATGCTATATCCTCTTTCAACCCATACCGGACGCGTCTTATCCTGTGGTCTAATAAACGTGCTTCTATTTTCATTGCATGCGAGTCTTACTATTTTGGCGGAAAAAAAATAGAGTTCCACATAAATAATGAGTTATAGAAATTATTTTGAATTTCCGGATATCTTGTTAAACTGAATTAAACACCCTGCCCCCCCCTCAAATTTCTCTCCCTCTCTCTCTCGCGCTCTCTTTCACACCCAGACACACAACAGAAAAAAGCACAACTTTTCATATCAATAATAAAGAATAAAAAATCTACCTTTATAAACTTGTATACAGCAAAGACACCAACTCTGATAGCATACAGTGGCATCAAGGTGAACACGTAGCCCTTGCTGTTTGATTTATATTTATCGCTCTTCAGCTCTAACTTCATCATCTTTCTCACTTGCTGCATATTTTCAAATGTCTGCGCCTTTGAATCTGCTGAATTCAAGTTGAACTGGTGCGGTCTTGCTGTACCCGGACCCACTGAAACACACACAGGATAACATGCATGCTGTGAATTTTAGCAGTGAGCAAAGTTTCTGTACTTGGCCATTAAAAAATGCATTGTGTATCTGTGTTTGTGTGTATACATACACTATATTGCAAAAAGTATTGGGACACCTGCCTTTACACACACATGAACTTTTACATAGGCTTTAATATGGAGTTGGCCCATCCTTTGAAGCTATAACAGCTTCAACTCTTATGGGATGGCTGTCCACAAGGTTTAGGAGTGTGTTTATGGGAATTTTTCACCATTCTTATAATCTCAAGGCCAATGAGCTATAAGGCTGAGCAAACTTTCACTTCACTTAAAATCATTATGGATAAACTGTGAAATTTTGTATCTCCGAGTCATAAATGTATATCGACTGCTTCAGTTCTAATTAAAATTAAAAACAATCACGTAAGCAGACTTCAGTGCAGGGATGCCCAACCCTGCCCCTGGAGATGATCCACCCTGCAGAGCTTAGTTACAGCCCTAATTTAACACACCTGATACAAATAATCAGGCACTTCAGTTATATCTCAGTATTAGAGTCAGCTATGCTGACGTTAAGCTGGTTCTCCCTTGATCCACACCCATAGATAAGTTTGTCAATCATCTCTTTTACTGTTTGGTTCCCTCGGCTGAACATCATTGTGGCACGACAATCTCTGGTTGTTGTTTTTTTTTTTAAATACCCAGCCATGAACTTTTGATGAACTCAGGCAAATCCTTTCCTTCAGTATAGCAAACCTTGGCAACTTCAGCTTGTTGCACATTGTCTGGCTAGAGGGTTAATAATATACAGATAGGGAAATAATTATTTGACACCTTGTTGAATTACTAACTAGACCCATTTATAAAAAATTTTTTTAAATGAGTAGTCTGTAATTTCACTGGTAGGTTTATTTTAACACCAGAAGATAGATTTTAAGATAGATTTAGGAGGCAGAGTGTGGCTCAGTGGGCTGTGCCTGTAATCAGAAGATTGTTGGTTCAAACCCAGCCTCTGCAGGTCCTTGAGCAAGCTCACTGGGTGCCCCAACAGGTGGCTGTTCTTTGTGGACAGCTTGCTCTACAAAGAGCAAGTTTGAGGGAGGCATTAAAAAGAATTTCCCCAAAGGGACAATAAAGGCTCTATTATTATTATTAAGCCAGGAAGAATTTAGGTCAAGTACATTTGCACTAACACAACACAAGTAGTACTTATTAACAGATACCAAACCAGCATTGCCATTTAATGGCATTACTTTGTTAAACAGTATTCTTGGGTCACTAACCTGTCTACATCTTCAACTTTATCACCATGGGAAATAACAAGAGCTGTCTAAGGACATCAGAGACAAGATTGTTCACCTTCACAAAGGTGGAATGGGCTACATGACCACCAGCAAGCAGCTTGGTGAGAAAGTGACAACTGTTGGTGCAATTATTCACAAATGGAAGAAAGACAAAACAACTGTCAATTACCCTCGATCTGGGGCCCCAAGGAAGATCTCATCTCATGTGGCATCAATGATCTTA